GCACACAAAAAAAGGGTTCCCCCCCCCCCCCCCCCTCCCCCCGGGACAAATTTTCCGTCCTTTTGGGGGCGGGCGGCTTGTCAAGGGGGTAATTTTTGGGGCCTGCCCCCCGGGGGTTCCCCCCCCCCCCCCCCCCCGAAAACCCGTGACCGCAGGGCTAAGGCGCTCGATCTAGCGTCTACCCTATCGGCATCGAAGCTGGTAACGATGGCGAACGCGCAGGTGGACTTCAGCGGGCCTCTGGCAAAGGTGGTCGTTGAGGAAGGCACTCTTGAGGGCTTCCTAGAGATGGCCAAGAGAACAGAGGTCGAGGTCGTGGTGCCACAGCCGGCGAAGACGGCCAGCGTCTGGCCCTAACGTTTTGTTGTTGTTGTTATTGTTGAGGGGCTTATTTGAGGGGAACACATCGGTTCCTTTCTTGGGAAAGAAAGCTTGAAAGATTTTTTTTTTGTCGGCGCTTCTTTGAGGGGAATACATCGGTTCCTTTTTCGGGAAAGCTTGACAGGTTGTTGTTTTTTTCGGCGCTTCTTTTGAAGGGAATACATCGATTCCTTCCTGGGAAAGCTTACGATAATTTTTACTGATATGGCGGTGCCTCCCCCGGGAGGATGGTGCTATTCGTGCTGGTTCCTGGCAAGCCTCCGAGTACATACATACGGCAACCGGCGGTGCGTTAAACCGAAAATTTCAGCTCGCGGTTTGTATGGCGTGAGGGTCCAACAAAGAGGTTCTTGCGGACATGTTTATCATTGGTCGCGTGGGTTGATGTGTAGAATCTGAAGCAAGCGGTCTCGTTGTGGCCTTGAATCATGATAAATAGACTATTATTGCTGCGTGTGTGTGTCTACTTTGGGTGTGGTGGTGTGAGTGTGTTGGCCACCGAGGAACACGGACGGGATATACATATGTCTTGATTCACCTTCTTCGTGGACGGTATAGTCAACCGGGCAGAGAGAGAGAGATAGAAGCGGACGATTCATCACTCCGCCGTTCGTTGTTCAGTGTGAAAATCAAAGAACTGGCACTTTTAGTCAGAGCCTTGAATGAGGTAGTTTCTTCATCGCCGTTCGTTTTTTAAGCTTTCTCGTATTGAGCGGGTTTTGGCGCGTGCTTGCACAGCAGCGTTGATTAGTAGGAGTTGGGACTGAATTGGACCCAAACGCAGTTTGTTCCAGAAGAAACGCCAAACACAGCCGCCGCAACGCAAACATTTGTTTTCGAATCCGAAGACCAACTACTTGAAACCGTACGGTATGCATTTATTTGCCAATGGTTTGTGTCCATTGAGATGCCTTGTCATTTAGAAGTAGCAGGGATCTATAAAAAAAAGCCAAAATCCATACGCGCCTTCTGGTGGTAGGGCGTGGTGCCATCCCATGAGTTCTGAACGTCGATTTACACAGCTCTAGCAGACCGGATATTTTTTGACGCACGAGCCGCGGTCACACTGAAGGCTCTGTTCTCGGCATCCCCTTCTGGGTGCAGTTCTTGCCTTCATTTTCTTTATTGCTTGTGGAGACGAGGGTTCGTTTCTGCCGTTCCTTTCCCACGTCGACGTTGAAGTCGATTTACTGCGCACACGCAGCAAAATGAATGTCGCATCTATCCATGCTTTGCCTGTGCATACGTTCGCGAAGTACTGTAGGTACTCATACGTGGAAGACGAGCGCTTGTTTTCAGTGATGCATGCCCCTCTCTCTGCCGCCACACAAGAAGAGCCGGCTTCTCAATTGGGGTGACGGCACTCGCTCACTCTGTGAATCAATCAATCGTGGACTGGGTCAGTCAGCAGTCAGCAGAGAGGTAGGCTATACAGCCTAGGGCCCGAGGGAGGTTGCTTGAGGCCTGGATTCACCACTCGGAACTCGGTGCAGACACTTGAAAATACCGTGCGCAGATGGTCACAAGCAAGAACTACCAAACACCCCCCCTCAACAAAAGATGTTGGATTTTTAGGAAGGGGCCCGGGATGCAGATCTCTACACTAGATGTATGTGGATTGTTCTGTTCCGGCGTGCATGCCCCCCCCTGCAAAAACATGCGCCCGCCATCCACAGCAGTAGTCCTACACTACCGCAGCACCTTCTCTCCCTCCGACAAATAAAAGGTCAGTTGGCGAAGCATGCCGATGCTTGAGCCCTCACTAGTCGTGGCGTCCTTCCAGTAGTGCGTTTGAGAACCCGCGGGAAGAGAGTACTTGCATGCGGTGGTGCCGTACAAGGGCAGCAGCTGCAGCAGCAGCTGTTTGAACTTCAACATGACGATATATTCATGTTCTTGGCATTTGTGGGGAAATGGTTCAGCCGCAGTCGAGTCTATCATCTCCAAATGTTACATGCTACATCACAACCACCAGATTCGTACCAACATAATTACTCTGCGTTCCATTGGTATGCCCTGTCCACTTCGTAGTCGCTGGATAGTCATCATAGAAATGTGTAGGAAAATACAAGGGGGGGCTCAGAAGGATCTGCTTTAGCAGTCTTGTATGCATGTATGAGTGCTTGAATGCTAGTGTACACATCCGTATTCGTTCATCCGAGGGTCATTGACGTGAAGCAACCTGTTTTCAGGAGCGACGAGACACGTGGGTGCTTCTTTTCTGTGTGGGGGTGGTGGTCCATCCGGTGGTCCACGAAACGAAGATATCGAACTTGCTTCTTCCGGGAGCACGGTTTTCCGCTTTACTGGTGCAAGATATATTATATTATTCCTTAATTAAGATATAGTCTATGGTCGATAGCAGGGGGCCGCCAGATAGTGCCCGCTTTGTGTGACTTGCGACTTGGAGGTATGCTATAGCATTTACCAATTTCAAGAGGAGTAGATATGTTGTAGTTTCGTCAGCTCGCAGCCCAACGCTCTACGTACAGATATGAGCTTGTAGACGAAGCACCTCTCGCACTACCGTACAGCCTTACCTCTCCGAGTGCTCTGATCCGGGTCTCACCTCCCAGAAATCTCACGACGATGGTGCTTTTCGTTTTTCAACGAGTCGGGATCCGAAGAGAGTCCCTTTCCTTTGCGCATGCACTCAAGAACAAGCGCTTCGTATTGGTTGCGGCAGAAGATACACACTTCTTACGTAGTAAATGCCCAAAGACACGCGCTTCGCGCGAGCGAAACAAGACCATTGGACAGCAGTCCAAGCGTCGTACAACAGTCAAGAGGGTCCGTTCAAGTACGACCAACGACCTCTTCTCATGATTATACCTGCTTCCGCTCTCTTTCCAGCCATACTTGTATAGATAGGTGGACGCTGATGGTTCGGCAGACTGTTGTACGAAGGCTGGTGGCTTGACATACACACACTCGAACCCACCTCCCGCAGCAGTGACAGCCCCACTAGACAGGGGCCTACGCCATCCAACCCGGTCGGTTAACCCTCACCCCCCCCCCCCATGTTCACACTCGTGACCGGGCAACGGAGAAACAAGTCGGCGGGCTAGGATCTCGACAACCGACCGACAGAGCTTCTGAAATACTTGCAAACCATGTGGGGGTCGATAATACCTCGCTTCCCCCCGAAGGTTCCCAGCACCCGTTCCTACTGGCATAATGTAGTTGATTTTGCAGGGCTACAGCCCAGAATTGAAAAAAAAAGAACTGTGTTCTTGCCAACTTGTTTTGCGGAAGTATGGTCGTCACTGCTGCTGATTTTCGTCGTCAGGACGAATGGATGGATGTACGTAACCGTGTACGAAGCTGACCCTGGTTTCTCCATCAGGCATTATCTTGGAACGTGAAATCTCACCGCTTCTTTTCTCGGAAAAAAAAGCTTGCCGGCTTGAGTTCACGCACACAGCACTATTTACTGTCATACGTGGTTCAATCTTTGAGTAACCGGCAGCTCTCCGGCATCCTCGCATTGTAGCAGCGATGTGGCCCGAATCGTGTCCCTTTCTGCACAAAACAACCAACACGAGTATAAAATACCACCCTGCTCCTCCGCCGTAATCCTGCACGCACAACACACGTCCATGACAGCGCGAAAAGGTTGCGCTGGAAAAGCATTGGGAGCGTGTGTTTGTTTCATGATGTCCAACTGCTGCCTGCCGCCGATTCGTTTCTTCCTGACACACGCACACCCCCCGCGCAGGCACAGACATCAATCTCCTATTTACACGGTCAACATGAGCGACAACAACAGCAAAGGTGGCGGCGGCGGCGGTGGTGGCGGCGGCGGCGGGGGCGGCGGCGTATACGAGAACGCGGGCCTGCCGCCAGCCACTCGGGAGAACCCGCACATCATCCAGGGCTGGCACCACACCCCCTACGCGCACAAGGACACGGAGCGGTACTCGTACATCGGCAAGGATAACGCCCAGAACGAGCCCGAGTGGGTGGACTGGGGCGGCAAGGCGGCGAACGCCGCGGCCGACGCCGCGAAGAAATGAACGAGTTGTTGTTGTTTGGACCCGCGGGCCGCCGCCCACAGTAGTAGTCGGAAGGAGGCGGCGGGAAATGGCGGATTCTAATGCTGATGGGGCAGTTGTTCTCCTGGAAGCGTGGTGTGATTTGCAGGCTGGAGAAGACTGGGGGCGAACGGGTGATGGTGCGGTTGGGTAGAAGACTTTTGTGTGTGTGTGTTGCTGCGAAAATATTCTGCTGGCCTGTTGAAGCGTTGCGAGCCGGCCATCGCGCTTGACCACTGTTATTGCTGCTGCTGTTGCTCATATATCCAGGAGATATTTCCATCCGGTGTAAGATAGTACCGGTAAGCACATGTTGTTTTGAGGCGGAGGAACACCGTGAGCGCTCTACGAAGGCGTTGGCCAGGCGCGTGGTGTGTTATCTCTCGATGACTGCCGTGCCATAGCAGCGCCGACTCCTCCGTGTATAGTCTAGAGTAATTTTTTTATATAGAGCTTCAAACTGTAGACTACACAATGTAATGTAGTTGTTTTTCCAACTTTTGCCTCGTGTTGGAAGACAGACAGACGCGATATGCTTCTTCTCTGATTCTCGGGGGAATATGTAAGTGCGCACGCATGTTGTTTACAGGGAGGGGTGTTGTTGTTGTGTGTCGACGTGTGGTTCGCGACAAGACAAGATGCTTTTGCTTCTCCAGGGGACACGTTGTTGTTGATCTTTTAGGCGACGGACGGCTTGTTGCTCGATGTTGGGCACACCGTCGAAGTGTATGCGGTTGTGCGTGTGCTTCTCATTTTCGGTTGTCATCGCGCCGCAAACATTGAGGGTACTGTACCTTGGGTACCATCTGTCTCCTTCTCGAGTAATTTATTCCACGAAGAACAGATCGATCGATCGACCGATGGCCTTTCTTGTTGTAGAGCGCGTGTTTGTCTTGCGCGGCAAGGTCCTATCTTCTTTGTACATGCGACCTATTTATCTATGTGCCTGTAAAGGAGAGGGTGTACCTGCGTCCCACGCGCTCCTATAGTCGCCGCGTGGACTACAGAGACGCCTCGGCAGGGTTTTGCTCTCGTGTTGCATGATTTTCCCACTCCCACGAGGAAAAATACCATCATCGGGGATCTACGTACAGCAGCATGTTACTGTACGTCGTTGATGTTTTAGTTGATGTAGTGTGGTCCAGCGGAAGATATTTTGGGTTCGGGACAAAGTGGATTTGGTTGCCGGCGATGGCGCGAACTCAACGTGAAAGTTCTCCACATTGTCGATACGTTGGGGGATCGATGAATGAACTCTATATTTGTTTGGAGCACAACATGCCACAACGTCTACAATACATGGCGACACTACGGTACAAAAACTCGTGTCCCGCTCTCAGACATCTAATCAAGCTATTTTGCCGATAGTGCAGATCCGCAGAACAAAGAAGAGCTGACACCCCGAGGCCCAAAGAGGTATGCCACCCACCAGTTCAACGTGCGCCCCCTCGAACAGCATTCCGCGATGCTGTAGGCGTCTTCCAGACCGCACGAGAGAGCGGGTACCTTTGTCATCACATTGAAGATGACGCTTTCCCCCCTCGACTGATAAGTTTAAGTTTCCGCATCCATCCGAAGATAATATTGAGTATCATCTCCAGTATCTCTCCGACGTGAATCACTCCATCCTCGTTGAGCTGGGCAGCGTGATACCACGGATTCGTTTATCGTCTACACACGACCGCACGTAACATACCATATACATACCACGGGCTCTATGTAGACTAAGACCACACACTCAAGTACGTCGGGATCTCGCTGATGCTTCTGTGTCGCTCGGAATTTTCCGAGAAGTTTCCACGGGGGCCCCTACCCCCTCTCGGCTGCAAGGTGGAGACCACACATGCACCCACCACCCTTCGGCTTTACACTACCTAGCTCAAGAGCCGCAGCTTCTTCTAGCTCAAGAGCCGTAGCTTCTTCTTACGTGGGACTATCAAAGGTGTCTCATTATCTATGGCTTCGCCCCCACAGCAGCAGGTGCAGCGGATGGACCGTGGAAGCTTCGTCTCTTCAGAGAGCTTCGAAAGTCTGACCTGCGGCGCCCCCGCTGTCGTTATCGAGCGACTCCGCCAAGCCACCGGTGCTGACGCCGGCCCGAACGCGCTAAAAGAGCTCGGTGAGAGCATCAAGAAGGCGGCCGTGGAAAAGTTGGGAGGGGGTGGGGACAAGGGGGGGGTGGAGGTGGCATTCGGGGGGGCGATGGGCCGGTCATTCTACGCCACGGCTGACGGATCGACAACAACCGCGGACGTCGTCCTGTTCTACACACTGGTGGGTTGAGTACAGCAGAGTAGTAGTCGTAGCATAGAGAGGCTTATTGCGCACCCACCCCGATGCAGACATCGTCTTTATCCACCCCCCGATCTCCCCATAGGATGTTGAGTTTGAATAATATAATACAGCAACATAGTGTTAGCTTTTTGCAGGGGCAGCAGTACAACCACATACAGTAAATCTTTGCCGGCGTAACGCCTCAACTGCATCGATAGCGACAACACTGAACCACAACACAACGGTTCCTCTGTCGAACCGTTTCTTTCTTTTAGGACCCGTTGGACATCGACACAAAACAGAGCACATGCGTTCGGAAGGCCAGAACAGAGTGCGAACTCTCGGCTGACGAGGTTATGCAGGCACTCTACAAGCTTCAACCCGGCGGCGGTGACACCAGCGACAGCGGCAGCGGTGGTGCCACCACGTCGACTTCTTAGGGATGGCAATGGCCAGACATAAACGGTCAGGGACATGAGGGTCACCGCCTTTCCATAGATGCAGTATATGCATAGCTGTCACAGCCCCAACCGCGCCGTTTGCGGTGGCTACTCTCTATCTTGCTTGTTTTGCGGGGGGGGGCGGGGGGGGGGGATACCGCAGGATAAATGTTGTGCCGCGTTTATTTGAAATCGCTTCGGCGATGTCTATGTCTACAATATTAGTTTATTAAATTTTCCTAATAATAGTTTACATATAGTCAGACTATGTAAACATGGGTGTGTTGGGCCGCCTGAAGTGGATGGTAATGGTCGTTCGTTGTACAGTAGCTCTGCATCGTAATAAAGTCCCTGACAGATTTCTTTTAGAGGTTGCACTTCAATCAAATGTGTGGGGATTTGTGCATGGTTGCTGTTCGTTGTTTGCCGTCGATCGAAGAAGAACCAATCAATTATCGCGTGTAAATAGCCGCCAATCCTGTTTGTCGCAACAGAAACCGAAACGTCCCTCCGAAAGTTGTCAATGGGGTCAATGGGTCTCCAGATATGGTTTCGTTGCGTTTGTCGTCGCGGTTTCGACACACCTCCCTTGCTTTGGATGTACGTTGTGATCTTGTCCGTCGATGATAGCATTCATGCAGTAAATAAATGTAGATGATATTCTCCCGAGTGGCAGCCGTTTCCCACCAGCTCTCTGGTTTTGGATTGCTTAGTCTAGACGTTGGACATAGATTTGCAGCCAGAGCAGATGTCAAAAGTACACCAACCAATCGATCCTTGCACTCTGTGCATTTGTTGTTTTTTTGCGTCGTCCAACAGCAAAGAAATCCACGTAGAAGTAGATATTTAGTTCACCCGGCGGACTTTGCTCCGTCGCCACGCGTCGTTTGGTGATTGGACTGAGTGAATCAACGCCGCCGCCCGGTCCTTGCAAGGGAGTTCATTCGTGGGGTCTGCGTCGTCCCGATGTTCCTTACGATTTAACGCTAAGAAGACGGCTGGCTGCAATAGAGTCCGTCCGCGGTAGATCGTGTAGTATTCATCATGCGCCCTCTCCTCCCCTTCCTTGTAGTGAGTGGGTGCTTGCTTTCGATGCGAAGGACCACCACCCGCTATGATGGTGTCGACTCCACACACAATAACATGAGGCACACTCGGGCACACGGTAGTTGCATTTGCACACCGTAGTAACACTACAAAGGCGACGACGGCGACGACGTCCATCACCTGTCTGTCTGTCGGTTTCATCCCAACGACTAGGACATGCCAAGCGTCGCGCTCACAGGAGACCACGGCAAGTAAGTGTGGGCAAAGAGCGCTGACCGGGGGTAGTAGTGGTGGTTGGTGATTTCTCCCGACATGGAGCACACGACAACGACAAAAAGGCGATCCCCTCTCGTCCCGTTCCCCTGGCAACGGCATCGCATGTCCCACAACCCGACCTACCTGCGGATGGAGAAGTACGACGTTAGGGACAAGGAGGGTGGATGGGCTCCTCCACCGTTTGCTCCCTGCGTAGAAACCTTTCTAGAGCGCCAAACAAAGACCAAGGGCCTTAAACTGCTCGATTTCGTGAAGAAAGCGACTGACCATCGCCTGATGATTCCCCCGCCGTATCCACAATCCCACTTTATATTTCCTTGAACACAACGAGACAAACTGTTCGGCCGTCGCGTCCGAGCGGGCACGCCGAAGCTGCCGTGCCCCCGTGCCAGCAGAACACTCGATTGAACAAAACTACGCTCCGGAAAGGGTGCCCGGACCGCCTTCTTCCTGTATTCCGACCCGAGTAAGCCAACGCGTGTGTGTGCGTTGCTTGTCCCATCTACTCTCTGGCGCCAGTCTCACTCCACACATACATGTCGGTGCGCATGTTTGACTCATCGGCCGGGGTCACACAGGAGGAAGGTCACATATGTGGGAGATTTGGGAGATTTTTTTTGTGTGCTCAACCTTTCCTCGTGCGGTAGAGTATGCATACTTGATCTATTTAGCCTTGATAGTTTTTTTCGGGGGGAGGGTCAAGCCGTCCCATTCCCTCGTCACACCGTGAACTCGGGAGTGTGTACTTCTAACGAAATTTATCGTTTTCCACAGCAAGTTGAAGACAAGGAAAACCCTCCCGAGAGAAGGCATCGAAACAACACACCCTCCCTGCTACTACTTACTACTGTAGAACAGGTTTGAGAGGTTAACCACTAGAAGACTTCCGGGGGGAACCGGTTACTACGTCGATGTTAGATCAGTTGGGACACAGGTGGAGAGTCGACACAACACGTCGCGCCCTCTAGGCCTGTACCTCTCTGCGGCATCGAGGACACATCGGAGTTTTTTCTTTGTTTTGTCACACATCCGTGCGGGTTTTCTTTCGGGCTCAACACCAGCGTCGTTGTCACCGACCAGCCAGTTCGTTCGCGCAGTCGGTTGTTCACAAAGACTGACGTATTTTCCTTGGTCGGCCGGCTACCGCGGGAAAACAAAACAAGTACCAGAAATACGCGCACACCCAGCCCTCCGCACGACACCCTCTCACGGGGTCCCATGTCATGGCCATTATAAGCTTCAGCCGCGCTGAGACTGACGTCTTTTCATTGGTCAGCCGGTCAGCGCGGTCGATGCTAACAAAAAAAAACACACATTTTTTGTCTGTCGTTCAAACTCCGGCCCGCTCCTTGTCGGTAGAGTCCTTCGAGTAGAGAGCATGTTCGCGTTGTTTTATCGCGCAATAAACTGACGCTGTTTTCGTTGGTGATCCGGTTGTAGCGCAGATTATGCTAATTCAACACACCCACACACGAAAAACATACACTGTGACAACACCGGAGCTAGTTCGCTGACTATTAGGGGGTGTTCGAAATCCTCGTTTCTCTGCTTATCATCTCTCGTCGCACCTTCTCTGATTCCTTCTCTCTTTCATGCGAAAATCATCAAACGCGATTGGGCAAAAAACCACAAACAACAAAACCCGCGCAGCTGATACCCAGGCTAAACACCTAATTCCACGAAACACGTCGTCACCCAAGAAAAAACGGTGACTGAACCTCTTGCGACTGCTCTCAACGCCTGCATCTCTCGCTCGCGGACGGATGCCTAGAGACAGCAGCCCCCCGAATCGTTTCCAACCCTGTCTGCAGAAGCATACCTCCGGATCGTACACGGAACACAACGTTTCTGAATCCTCCCCGCCCCCATGACACATGTCTATGCATTTTTGTGAAACCCTGCCCGCCAAATTACGCAGGCACCCCTATGCTACGCACGGTAAAAAAAACAAGCAAGGACATGCTGTGACACACACATGCGCTGTGTCCGGACACACTCTACGATATGTGTGCCTGAACGAAAATTTGGGGTACTCGTTGGGGTTGGCGATCCACCCGACGCTCGCTGCTCTGTCCCCCCTGCTCGCCACTCCCGCGACCCGAATCAAAGAGAAGGTAAAGGCTTCCGAGGGCGAACGGCCCGCCGTTCCACTGCAAACATACACACACAAAACACAAAAGTACATCACACTGAACAGAAGAGGTCGCCTCCAAAGCGCGTCTCTTCTTCACGCTACCGCACACAAAACAAACGTTACACGAAGACACACACGACTAAATACATTTGTAGTCGGCAGGGAAAGAAAGAAAGCTACCGCTGCGCGCTGGAAAGGATTGCTACCGGCCAAACCCTCCTTACACAACAAAGAACAGCGTGCATATAGTAAGCCAGCATGGCTGTGCAACTATGACTACTGTATGCCTTTCTATCGAAGCAACATACCGGGGGTGTACGCTACGCACCGGTGCACGTGGCTGCTGTAAAGGATGTCAGCAGCAGCCTGTTAGAGTCTAAGTAGATCATGTCTTCTTCCACATGCGGAAGACTTGCTTGCGTCGACGCCAATTTATTCTTTCGCATGCGCTCAGCAGCAGCCGATATTCGAAAGAAGTAGCGCAGCAGCTATCTAGCTGTTGAAGCATTTGCTGCACTCGGCACACATTGCCCCACCCGGATTTCCCACCCACCCGCCCACCCCCCAACGCGCCAGCATATCATGGCCGGCCCATTCTTTGTTGAGCTGTTGGTGTTGAGACGTCGGCTTCATGAACGTCTCAAAAAAGCACTTTTATTTGTCTCATCGAAACAGAGGTCGCCGCAAGAGGTCTGCCCGGTCGAAGCTGTGCCGCCTGCAGACCTCGAGCCGCTCCTCCTCGCACGCGTCCCGGTCGCCATCGCCGCAGGCGCCGCCGCCGCCGCCGCCGCCGCCTCGCCATACGCCGTTTCCTCCCACCACCGTCCCCGCCGCGGACGGCAGCGGCCGCGACCTTCGAGCACAAGCCGACAGCATGCGCACGACGTCGACGTGCCCCCGCCTCTCCGCGACGTGGCGCGGGTTGCAGCCCATGTCCGTCCTGGCGTGGACGCTCGCCCCGCCGCCGATCAGCAGCTCCGCGGCCTCCGCGTGCCCCCCGGCGGCGGCCGCGTGGAGGGGCGTGAGCCCGCCCCTGGAGGGCTTGCGGCAGTCCGCGCCCCACTCCAGCAGCAGGCGGACGGAGTTGGTCGCCCCGAAGGCCGAGGAGGAGAGGAGCGGGGTGCGCTGCTCCCGGTCCACCGCGTCCAGCTTGGCGCCGCTCTCGAGGAGGAGGAGCGCGAAGTCCGCGCGGCCGGTCATGGCCGCCCAGTGGAGGGGGGTCCTGCCCGAGCCGTCCCGCACGCATGGGTCGACGGAGGCGGCGGCCGCGGGGGACAGGAGCACGGTGCCAAGCTTGAGGATGTTCTGGGAGGCCGCTACGTGCAGGGGGTGGTGACGCATGGTAGCCTCTTCGTCGGGGAGGCTATCATCGTCGTCGTCGTCATCGCCGCCGCCGCCGCCGCCGCCGTCCCTGCTGGCGCGGTTACTGTTGCTGTTGTTGTTGTTGTTGTTGTTACCGTTGCCGCCGCCGTCGCCCCCTTGGAGGAAGGAGACCAGCTTGAGGTGCCGCGCGAGCGGGGTCCGCCACGCCCTGGTCGGGATGCCGGACGACGTCGCCGTCGAGATGGCCGATGTTGCTTTCACCCAGTCCTGCCGTTTGGTTGTACGAGGGAGGGAGACGGCGGACAGGACGAGAAAAAAAAATCACAAGGGAAGGGATGGAAAGGAAGGGTTTGTGGCGCGTCGCCCCGTCGGGCCTGCCGGCACACACGGGAGCTAAATCATCGCGCATTTTTGAAACGCGTGTATATCTCAGTTTTCCAAAGTCGAACTCCAGTACGAAACTTCCATTGCAAACTAACCGTCCGCTCACCCCCCCCTCGTGTACAATGTTAGTACTGAGATTGTACAGAGCCCTTGCGATGCACTGCAGATTAGCGGTCCACGATTTTCCAACCGATCCTTCTATCATCGAGATCGGTGAGCTATAAGCAGGATTCTTGGAGCTGCTGTGGGGTCCGATTTTGAACGCTTCAAGCACACTTCAACTGCGAATCAGCGCCTCTATGTGAGTGCGTGGGGCCACGAACGTCAGCGCAGCTCTTCCCTCACGTGTCCTACTCGTCGCTATAGTCGATTTGAATGCCTGGGGTCATGTATATGTAGGTCTAGCCACAAGCAAAGGTGCTTGAAGCGTTTCAAAATCGGACCACACAGCAGCTTCCAGAATCCTGCTTGTAGATCACCGATCTCGATGATAGAAGGATCGGTTGGAAAATCGCGAACCGCTAATCTGCAGTGCATCGCAAGGGCTCTGTACAATCTCAGTACTAACATTGTACACGAGGGGGGGTGAGCGGACGGTTAGTTTGCAATGGAAGTTTCGTACTGGAGTTAAGACTTTGGAAAACTGAGGTATACACGCGTTTCCTGGGTTTTTGAAGAGGAGACACTGCGATCCCCCGTGCGCCCTTAACTTTCCACACACACACGCTCTTTGCCAAGTAATGGTCGCACTGGAGAAGGGTCATCTAGCTCGCTCGGTGGAGGGGGGCCGTGGGTTTTGCTATGCTTCACTTGCATACACACCCAGATTGCTTTCTTTTTCTCTTTTTCGACGGTGAATACTACCATATCTACCTTGTTAGAGAGAACGTTGAAGCTCCTGTGAGGCCCCACCCCCCCTTTTTTTTTCGTGAGGAGACTTTCTGCAACTCCACCCCGCCCTAATATTGAAGGATCGAAAAGCAAACGATCCTCGGCAACGTCAAAAACATGCTCTTCCCCCGGGGACTTTTCGGTGCCCGGGCAGATATGATTTTTGATGTGTTCTTAGACTCTTCGATGCTGCGCAGCAAAAGGCTGAGTCAGTCGTCAAGTCTGGAGGCAGTCGCTTGCGAGAAGCTTGTCGCTCGCCTTCAAAGGGGGCTAGCTTGGGGGGTTGCGAACGGCATTCAGAGAACTTTTGCAGGTTCGATTGCATTCAGCATTGCCGGCAAATCGAAGACCTAAAGCCCGCTACTCTGGTGTGGCGGCGGGATATTTCCAGACTTGTTTGAAATTACAAAGATGTACATAATGCAAAGCGATCGGCTTCCTTGAGAAAGCCGCGTCTAGAAAAAAATCCGCTACAAGTGCATGTTGTAGTCTACAGGACAGGAGTTCCTCAATGTCAGCAGTCCCTGCATCTTCACTGCTTCTGCTTCAAGACCCCAGCACATTCCCCCCTGCAGCAGTCTCGGATGGGTGTAGTCTAGACCACGCTGCTGTAGACTGGAGAGACGTACAATATGATGGGTCCGATCGATTCAGTCATACTTGTAATACAAAATCAAGCATCACCAGGAAGCAGCTGTCGTTTCGCAAAAAGCTCTGCGAAAAGAGATGAAAAAACATTCACCGGCGAAGGCGCGGCAAGGTACAGGAGAGAGAGGCAAATGGAAACGCGCGCAAACGCACTTACCTCCCGTCAAGAGAAGCGAGGCGGATCCTATCCTTACAAGAGGTCAAGAGTCAAGAGGTCATAGCCCTCATTATCTAGTCGTCTCGAGTCTGGCGACCGCATGGAATGGCGGGAAGGACGGAAGGACCAAGACATGGTTGCACCTCTCTTACCTGCGAGCGCATCACGTCCTCCACGTCCATATCGCTGCTTCTTGTGTTCCTCTTCTTCTGCGAGCACATGCTGCTGCTATGCTGGTGGTGGTCTCCGGTGGTCATCAACGAGATAGCAGGGGAAAGAGAAAATTCGTTAATAGTGTATAGCAGGGGGAACCCGGAGCCAGGGTGGCACGTGCGTTCGCGATTCACGATCAATCCACGTCATATCAGACGTCATGTCGTGTTGTCTATTTTCAAGTAATTTCGGGTTGGCTCTTGGGGCGATTGGACCGAAACGGCACGGAGCAGTCTTCTTTTTTTTTTTCTTAATATGACACAACGAATCCATCTCTATCTGAGAAAAGACTCGAAGATAGATTAGCAATCAATAATGAATCCTTTTTTCTCTCTTTTTTGGTGTCAGATGGCCTTCCTTGTCTCTGCTTGCGTGTGAAGCACCAAGATTGAACCAAGGGGGTGTACCTCTTTCTCTCTGGTCCGTGATGCTGACTCCTATTAATTAGTCTCAGTTGTTACCTCGCATAGCGCGCAGAGGGAGAGCGAAGGACTCCAGAATATATATCTGTCGTTGATTTTTCTATTGATTCGCGGACCCCTCGGGGCAGTTTGTTTGAGCATATCTTTTTATTTTAAGGTAATATAATAAGTTAGCCTGTGACCACGGAATCGACGGCGTCAATTGTTGGATCAGTACGGACATATGAAAAGTGCTGGGTAGAGAGAGATCGGAACGGTGAAGACAACAACAACAACAACAACAACAACAACAACAACAACAAGTCTCTCTCTCTCCAACTCTCTCTCTCTCTCTCTTCTCTCTCTCTCTCTCCAACTCTCTCTCTTTCTCACTCTCTCTCTCTTTCCATCTCTCTCTCTCTCTCTCTCTCTCTCTCTCTCTCTCTCTCTCTCGGCCACCTGTCTCCTTCCTCCCCCCCCCCTTCTCTTCCATCGTGAGACTCCATCCACATCGTGGCAGAAAGATGGAGAATGATATTCTCGCGTCGAATATGTATACTAACGTTCAGAAGAAACTACATGGAACAAAAGGTTAGCTCAATGAGAACATAAATCTCATGTATGTATAATAGCTTGGCTTTGATTTTCTGTGCACGAATGTGCATGATGGATGGTTTTGTGTTGGTGAAGGATTCCCAGCGACATTTCCCCAGTGGGTTGCAGGCTCAACAAGAAGACAGTTTGGCAGCCGTCGGGTGTATATTTTCTGTATTATTACTGTCGTGCTGTAATTTCCAAATCAAATTTACACCGCCGCGGGATTGATTCCCGGTCGCTAGTACATGTAGTGTGTCTTTGGCGCTCCGCAGACAACCCCGTGGAAAGCGATGTGGGATGGTCATGGACTGGTGGTCCCCGGATCTGCGAAGCCAGTACATGGATTTTGGCGGAACTCCTACTCTATACTTTAAGTAAATGCTTTGATATGCTCGCACGCGCACGCACCACCGCCGACACTTGACACATCCATCCACCATCATCCCGGGGGCTCCGCGGAGCTCTCTGTGGTCCACGAAATAATTGAAGCAGCATCGAAATGGGTTGCAGCAGAACCACAGCAGTTTCGTCGGTCTTCTAGTTGTTGGAGACATTCAATTTTGCCGATTCGACTCGATGAACCTACTACACGTACCTGCTGCCTCCTGAGCCGCAGGTAACTATGTAACTTTCCCGGAGTACACTTTTGTCCAGCTTTGCTTTCGGCGCAACAAGATGAGGAGACAACCGGATACTACTACTGCTGTACTGTAGACGTGGTGGAGGTGACAAACGGTGGTAAATGGCTTGCCGGACGACGTCAAACATGATGGCTTCTTCTTGCGGGTACTCTCCCCTTGTAGTCTATTGGGCCTTGGCGATGTGGTTTGTTACAGATACATGACATCATCATCGGGGAACTACGTATATTATATGCATAGCACCGGGATCATGGCGAGCGCATGGGCTTTTTTTTACAGAATGTCGTGTGGACTTGTGAACCGCCTTGACATCCACTACAGTCTCTCAGCATACACTTGGTTGCTGCCGCTCGTTCCTCTGGACTTTTTTGTGCCAAGGATGACGCGAAGGGCTAACCACCGACGACATCGTACCAAACACCCAACCAACCCGCATCCCATGGATTGATTGTGACGACATCGTAAAAACACCCAACCAACCCGCATCCCATGGATTGATTGTGACGACATCGTACAAACACCCAGCCAACCCGCATCCCATGGATTGTACACAGCGGTACTCGGTCGTGGCTACACACTCTACAGACCAAGAGTCCAATGAACGCAAGGGGCTGTAGTGCACCACCAACCAATCAATCCAAAACGTGTTGTGAATGAACAACGTCCATCTCGCCACATGCAAGTGAGCGAGTAAAACCAATCCTGTCCCCGTGCGCAAGTGTAGCCCCCCACAGACGATCCGTTTTCCAACAACCCGGTTGCGCCATCGCCACGTGCGTATGTACGTAGACACAGCACAATTGTCGGCATCCCGCAAAGCTGCCCCCGGGTCATCAGAGACGGCGGCACCAGCTGATTCTCTCCTGTCACCACAGCAGTGCCGCCTTTGGCAACTCATCATGTTGTTGCAGAGCTACAGATGCCGCCCGTACTTCAAAAAAAACTTGTCAGTTGAGAACTTTGTGCTCAACATCACATTCAATACTCGAATACCAAAGGTAAGAAAACGAGCCACTTCTGAGCCCCTTGAAGAACCCCTGTACTAACAAACCTATCATAGATAGATAGCGGCCATCCCTAGCCCACAGGGGGGACCACAAACCCCACCCTCGGCGATCACTAGAGCTAGCTTCTCAAGTGCGCGCGCTACATCTGTATGCCATCTACGGCTGTAACCAGAGAAAGAAGAGGTGCTGTGCTCCCTCTTCCCCGACAACCGGAGAGAGGGGAGACGACACGGTCAATGACGACAACTCGAGGCAAAACGATGTGACGATGACTCAGGGCATTTCTCGAAGAGCCGTCCATCGGCGGACGTCGCGACGGAAGAGGTTCTCGTCGGCGTAGCTCAGTCCTCTCTCCTCGTCCACTGTAGCCGCCCGCATCACGCCGTCCGCGTCTCTGAGCACGGGCGGCACCTGCCACGCGTCGGCACAAAGAGAGAGAGAGAGGGGGGGGGGGGGGGGGATAGAGGAGGGCTTTCTCACAACCCGAGCAAGCGGCAAGAACGGACACACACACCGCTTTTTCAAGGGGTCAACGCGAAAAGAGAGAGGGGCCGAGGAGGGTTGTTCATCACAACCCCGGGGCAAGATGAAAAACACTATCACGCCGTAGAACTGTACAGACAGCCACACAAATCAACGAGGAGTGAGGTGAAACCGGGCGCTATTATAATGCTGGACACGTGCTGTAGAGTGCGAACCTTCATCGCTGAGTGAGCCAAAGACTTCTTCTGACGTCAACAACCGTCTCTTGGGGGAGCAAACTTGCTGGCGCACACGGCATTTGACCCTTTTGGAGGGTGTTCTCTTCTGACTCTACTCCGTCCCACCCCAAGCAGCACTTGCTCGGTTGGTACTTACCATAGAAGAATCCTTAGAGGACGTGTCCTTCAGGGCGTAGGCCCAGCGCCTCTTGGGGAGATTCGGCTCCTTCTCCAACTTCTTGGTAAGCTCTGCGGCCTCCTCCTCCCTCACGGCGGCGTAGATAGCCTTGAAAAATCCAACAGAAAAAACGAGCAAAGAAGCAATCATAAGACGACAATCAGAAACATGAAACGGACGTAACGAATCATAACTGGATCGAACAATACAACACAACAGCAGACTAACAGCCAGTTTCACAGCAGTATCAACGAAAAAATGGCCATGGCGGAGATCAACAGACAACAACAGTCAGGGTGGGGGGGGGTGCGTGGGGTGGTATATATTTCGCTTTTCGCCTTTCAAGGTCTCGGGATGAATGGAAAGAACATTGCCAGGGACAATCGACGTCAACCAAATACATCCGGCGGGCCTGCGCCTGTACTTGGAAGGGCCGGAGGACCTCTCCCACCACCACCACCACCACCACAACCCACAACACCAACACCAATAACACCAGTAACACCAGTAACTACAGCACGTTGGTCAGGCCAGGTCACCTTGTTGGTGCGCTTGTACTTGAGGTCTTCGGCAACCTCGTCCTGGCTCTGCAGGGGCGGTCGGTCGAACTTGCTGCTACGGTCCTGCTCGGTAAGCTTTCCCAGCTTGAACTCTCTAGGATTCGTCCAGCTGCTAGGGTCGTTCTTGTCGCTGCCGAGAAGAAAAAAAAACATTAAGTATAAAGATAATTAAAAATAATATGTCAACACCATGCGGTGGACAGCCCGCCATGCACAGCGACAACAGCAAACCTCCCGCTATTGCACCCAGCTGTCTTCGTCGCTGAATAGTCTTTATCGCACCAAAAAGTCGAGCAAAATTTCCTCCAGCACGAGGCAGGCCAGACAAAGCAGCAGCGACCGACCGACCTTTTCACGCGCTGTTCCGTGCGGTTGCTCGAGGATAGGATAGGAAAGGATAGGAGCGGGATAAAGAACACTGCAGTCGTCTCCGCTTCAAAGGCACTCGTCTTAGGTCAACTCCCCGCGTTATGGACACAAAAAACATAAAGAGCAGGGTGCCCCGCAGACATACTACGTGCCCCCGGAATCCTAAGGACACTTCCCCGCTTTGAAGACATATTCGAAATACAAAACCATGCGTGTCTTTAAAGCGGGGTCGACTGTACGCAGACATTCTTGGCAAGGAAAAGGTGGCGACGGCATATCCTGGCGAGCGATCGGGCCAACGACGTCGAAACCCCGGGGGGGCTAAGAGACGGAACAATCCGCAGAACGGAGCCGGAAAGCGGCACCAAAGAACCGCCTCTCTCGCGAGGCAAGAGGAGGAACAATAAAAGCAAAGGGACGAAACAGTCCGAACCTCGGGGGGCAAGAGATGGAACGATCCCCAGAACGGGACCCGGACATAACACCACGACGCGCCCTCTTCTCGCGAGGCAAGAGGATTAACAACAAAGGCAAAAGAGACTTGAGGAAAACAACAAAAAGACTGGAAGGGAGTCAGTCAGGCAGGCAGGCAGGCAGGCAGGCAGGCAGAAGTTTCGCGCGACAACCGCTCCTCACATGTCCGGGCAGTGCTCGTAGATGAAGGGTATATCCTGGCCGTAGTGTTGCGCCAGCTCCTCGATGTAGGCTTCCTTGCGCTCCGTGAAGATCTCCTCGATCTCCGGGTAGATCTCGTACCTGAAAATCGATCGATCGATCGGATGTAACCGACCGGTTTTTGGAGCGAACGCCGCCGTCCCGGGGAACAGAGCGGGTAAGTTAAACAAGGTTTTTCCATGTACAGGTGTGTTCTCAGAGCAAAGTAAACACCTTCATGGGACAGACAGGCAGTAGGACATCCTCTCGCCCCAGGAATCGAATAGAACACTCGCAAACGTGAATGCATACGGATGGTCAGACAGAGATATGCCTCGTCTTTATATCATACCTACACACCCAAGCTCAAAGGTCGACACACCAATGGAGAGATCGTGCTAAAGAAACACTATCCAAAAGAGCAGCAGTCGAATTCACGGACGGGCGTGTATGTGCCGAAAATCATCACGGCCTAAAACGCAAGCACGCTTGAGCCTGGTGAGTAATGTGCGTGCGTGTTTACGGGACGGTCGGTGTCGTCACGTACGAACGCCAGGGAGGAGGGGAACGGAGGGGAACAACGGTCATGGAGGGGGTAGCTTACAAAGCGAGCACGGCGTGCTCCTTGTGCGCCAGTACACCACACAGGACTCTTTGCCTTCCCGTCATCGATCGAGCCCGTGACGACGCACGTGTGTTTGGGCTCAAGGGAAACAAAATCTAAGAAACCTCGAGCTCATGAGCCGAAGCGACGCGCACGTGACAGTCACAAACGAGAGGCACCAAAAACACCCCCCAAGCCTTGGGTGTATTGAGATAAGCACCAAGCCCCTGACCTGACAGTCAAACCTGTCTCACCCCTCAATCGTCTCCACGTTCTCCTTGGCCTTGATCTTGAGGGTCAGGATGGCCTGCACGTCTAGGTATGGCAATCCGAACTGCTTTGCCAGGGCCTGGCGAAAAAAGCATCGGCGGCGGGGCACGGGCGGTGGAAAGGCTATCAGCAACGACCGCATGGTACGAGGTAAGAGCTGGCGGGGAGAGGGGCACGCGAAAGGGACAAGAAAAGAGCACGGTGGTGGGAGGGAAGGCAAGGCATTAGCAACAAGCCTGCAAAACCCCAGCACGCCCGCTTCCAAGCAAACGGAAACAGCAAAAACCAACGCCACAAACAACTCCGTGCGTTGAGAAAGGAAAAACACAAGAATGGAAAGGTGGACGCTCCAGGCTAGCTTGCGCCAGATAGAGCCGGCAACAACACAACCCAAACGAGGGTCATCCTTGACTTTCCCTGACTGATACCCCCCACTCCATCGCCGAGGTTTCCTTCTCAAGAGCAGAGTGGACACATACGGCGGCCAAGACCAGAATATACCGCCGTAGGTCGCCTGCGAAGACAACAGACAAGACTGCCGTGGTAAGGTTGCCTACAAAGAAACACGCCTCTGTGAGTTAGAGGTACACACCACTACCCCCTCCCGCAGCAGACCACCGCACTCGGTTGGCGCACCACCGCACAAGGCTGGCCTCAAAAACGTTCCCGAAAAGATGAAGGTGTGCGGTCACATCGACAGGCCAAGCAACAGGACATGTATGCGAAAGATGCCACAGAGCCTGTTTTTCCGGAAACGACGCCGCCGGGTGGGTTGACCTATTCGAAGACTAAACGATGTCTACCGGGCGTGTGTTCTTGTGTGTGGTGTAGCCGGTCTACGGTAGGGTGTGTACTAACGCCCCTTCCCACAACGGGGAACAGGGAACTCGGAATGATTGTCTGATTGGCCAGCCACACTAAATAACCATCCTGGAAGCAGTAGTCCACCCGCCAGGCTCCCTGTTTTGGGTAATTGCGCCGCACCACCATATGTGGGGAACAAGCTCATTAAAATTAGCCAACAGACGATAGAGAACGTGGAACACGGACTCGTCGGTGGCGATTCAGTACGTGGTGGGATGTGTGTGATCACTCTCGGGCACGTGGCTGCTACAGGGGCTGAATGCCACTGCTGTACCGGTTCAAGCGGAATAGGCATTGCCACCATCATCAGTTGTCTCGCACGCAAAAAAAAAGGCGGCGGATGCTCTCTCGTGTAGCCGTGGTATTGGGGAAGACCGCGTGCCAAAGAGAGCGGCAAGCTGCCGTTGACCACAACCCAAAGAGCACTCTCGAGGGTGCGGGTCGCACGACGAGCACTGCCTGTTCTAGCCGATACCTAGCACACGTGTTTGATGTGCGCTCGTCAACACCTTCCATCAAAACCTACACCACTCATCCTTCCTCTACCCCCCACTCGTCTTTCTGCATCCTATGGTTGCATTTGTTGCCTCGGCGTACCTGCGGGCCGCACTCGCGCGCTGAAATGTTCCGTGTTCCGTGCCTGAATGCTGTGGCATGTGGTATGGTTAGGACACAACGACATGGAACAAGAAACAGGGAATTCCGAGTCTCCTCTTCCCGGTTCCTCTTTTGGTCTAGAACGTTAGTACACGCCCTAGAGCTTGAAAGAAACCGGTCACTGCCGTGTATACGTCTGCCTACCACTGCCGTTGTCTGCTTCTGTGGCAAATCTCTCGTATCTCTAGTCTGTTTGTCCGTCTCTCAGTCTGTCGTTGTCTGTTCCATCTTTCTGTGTCTCTCCCTCTCTGTCTGTCTCTCTCTCTCTCGTTCTCGCATTCTTCTGTGCCTGAATTGCCGTCGGTCGCCCTCCGTATATGCTACGTCTGTGTCCGACTTCATCGTACAAAATACGTCCATGTCCGCCTGTCTTGACGCCTCCCTAACCTAACCCCTAGCCCCCTAGCCCCTCGTCACGCACCATCGCAGTATTCTTCTCAGGGTCCGCCTGCCAGAGGTCGAACATCTTGCACTTGATCATGTCCGGGATGTGTCCTCGGAACCAGTTGCTAGGCAGCTGGTCGGGATCAGGTTCCCACTTGATGCGGCACAGATCCTGCCGCAGCAGCGGACGGTGATGCAAACAGAAAAACACGACAAAGGCGCGAGCGCGTGTAACCGTCAAAAACTCCGGCGTTTGGCTTGTGATTTTACCTTCGGCAGGAATATCATGTAGAGGGATCGTACATGGTCTGGGTGCGTGTGTGCGGGGGGGGGGGGGGAGTGATGCAGCGGATGTGTCGTCGGAACGAGCACCACGTGTCTTGGTCGACATAGTCCGTGTTGCGGCGTGCAGGGTCGACAGGGAAGTTGTGCCTGTTCATACGGGCGGCCAAACTCACAACGGTGCTGATCAAAAGTGTGTCTCGAACCACCGTGGGAAGACGGAAGGTAAGGTTGCGTGTTCTACCTCATAGTATTAAGCTCCGTCTCTGCTGCGAGACTTAACACACTTGCGCTTGGCCAGATCGATTGACACCGCTGGAAGGGGAGGGAGGGATCCACACATCCCCCTCCCTTCTCTCTCTCGTTCAACCAGACAGCAGCAAGTTTTGGTGCCAATCCACTCTCCAAACCCCACTTCGCTGCTGTAATACTGCGAAACGCCATGAACTTTGCTATATTCCTCAAGGGTGCACGAAAAAAAACTGACAACGACGCCTACCCAACACAAAGCTCGCACCGAAAATCAAACCAGTCGTGTAAATAGTAGTTTCGAGGAAAAGAAATACACGCCTTGTTGTTTCCTTGTCCACTTGGTTCTGGAGTACCCCCCCCCCCCCTTTTCCAGGCCCTCTAGAGACACCTAGTTGTGCAAAATTAAGGAAATATATATCCTTCGTGTGCCCTCACTGTCTTGTTTGGTGCTGTACCTCGTGGGGGTCCGAGTTCTGCCAGGTCTTGTCGCGCTTCTTCTGACTGCCGGTCCTGGACTTCTGATACCTCCCGCCGGACCGCCACCGGCTGCTCCGCTGGTCGTCGGTCGCCCACTCTTGCGCCCTCGCCCTGAGACACGAGGGCGATTTTTTGTCGTTTGACGTTGATATCAGCCGTTGGTGTTGATGTTGTTGTTGTTGTTGTTTGGTTTTGTCGGTGGTGGTGGTGGTGGTGGTGGTGGTTATGGTGCTGTTGATGGGGTACATGACGTTCTTGTCGTTGTTGACGATGGTATGATTCCTTTCCTTCCACTCTCGACTTGTATTATCCCCACCACGTGCCACGGTCGCCAGGTACGATTCCGAGCACACCAACTTGGGGTGTTCTCCCGCAACTTGGCGGGTGCACTCTACCCTCTGTCTCTCCGAATGGACATCTCTCCTCACCTGTTTCTGGCCTTTGTGGTGCTGTCGTCAGGGCCTCCCTCACCCCGCGCAGACGACGAAAAAAGATGATGCTGAACATGGAGGGAGAAAGGAAGCAGGACGAAAAGAGATGGGGCTGAACGTCAGCAGAGAGTGGAGAGAAACCAGCAAACCGTCGGTGTCCCATCGGCAGTGATAGACGGGGATATTCTCTCCATCCAACGCTATGTATCGATACTTTGCATGCATACCACACCCCGAGAAAGCAGGAGGGTACCTAGCGGGTGTCTGGAACGAAGCTCGTTCATCAGCACCAAAAAGGGTGTCGAGGGTATCCCTTGCAACTACAGTACGCTTTCGCAAGTCTGGCTCGATACCCCAGCTCCGATACCCACCAACATGTCGCTGCCAATGTGGGCATGTTGGCGGGGGGTGGGGCAAGGGGTGTGCGCGCATGGGCGTTCACAGCAGGCTTGCACGATCTCTTCTTCCACGCCGCCTACTCTGACAGGCAGTAGTGGAGCCCGTGGGTTACAACGAGTCCTTGCATTGTTTCAGCCGCCGAAGACAACCACTGCCGATAAAAGCGTGTCTTCATTGACGAGCCAGCCGGCACGGCCGAGAAAAAAAAAAACACGACTGGACGTGAAAATTAGCTCATGTCCGGACTAGAAACACCCAGCTCAGCGGACGGCGGCAGTGCCACGGTGCATTGCAAGCGACGTTTTTTTCAGGATGTAGGCACTCACTTGGAACCGCTCTACGCAAGCAACGGTCGCGGTCCACAGCAGTACCACACACAAGCGCGCGCGGGGGGGGGGGTGATGCTAAAAATTGGAGATGGGTATATATCTTGTCTCTGTGTGTGTGTCTAAAATACTCTCACCAGTGGGAGCTTTCCCTGTCGCTCCTGAGGGAAATGGCCAAGCTGGGCGTGTCGCCAGACGTGGTCAGCTACAACTCGGTTATTTGTTCTCGGCGCCAATCGACGACAATATTCGGTGTAGACATGTTCGATGCGATGCACCAGTTAGATTGAGAAGACAACAAGTTGGGTGACTTTATGCTAGATACGATACACAGCGTTCCTCGACTGCTGTTGCTGCTCTTTTCTCTTGACTACTGCTGTGTACTTTATGCTAGATACGGTACACAGCGTTCCTCGACTGCTGTTGCTGCTCTTTTCTCTTGACTGCTGCTGTATCCTGAAGAACATACGGCGGTATAATAGACGATTACACATGCTATTGCTGTACAGAACAAGGGTTACATCGTCACGTTGATTATTATTCGACATCTGCTTTGAACCAAACGCTAGGTGAAGAAATGTACCGGCCGTCGTCGCCCTTACCGGCAACAACGCACTGACTGCTTGCTGTCCGCCGTGTGCCGCACCTGCTGCTGCTTCATGTGTTGAGACACAGCAGAGGCAAACCGCAGTGGACGCACCAAACATCCCAATTTTTTACCTGGAATTTTTCGCCCCTAAAGACACAAGCCACACATCCAATGGTGCACACCGAATAGAACAAGCTCGTGCATGTTCACCCCTGCCGGCACAATGGCATCGACGACCCACAGCATGCTTGCGCCCAGGTGGTCTGCTGCTTGTTGTAGGCCGTCTAACTGCTGTTGTTGCTGTAGCCGCATATGGGCAAACAACTCACTTGGGAAACGGCACCAGAGCCCCATCGCACACTCTCGATAGCATCCCCGCTGCGCAATCCAAGGAACCTCACAGCGGCGCTCCTTGAGCACCTTCCACCCACTGCGACATGCATGGCCTTGCTTTGTTTCGGCTGGCCCCGTAGCTCTCTGTCTGCGTCTGGACTTTGCAACAAGACTCTTGCAGGCAGGGGCATCGCGGATAATACTACCTGTACCACCGTACTTCCTACTTTTGTGAACAATTTTACGGAGCCCCGCTGTGTTCGTGGCCGCGAGGTAGCCATCATCCCCCCAGCGTCCCTTCCCCGTACGCCGGAACAAACATGGCCACCGAACTGAACCCCGACGGATGGGATGGAGGAGAGCCCGTGGTGGCTGACGACGCCGGTGCCACCGATGGGTGGGTCGAGACGGAGGTGGACGCGCCGTTGGCGGTCGAGGAGTCCGGCATCTCGGACGTGCAGCTCTTCAATAAGTGGTGAGAGTGTACCGCTGGATTTCGACGTGAGAGCTGGGCTGCTGCTCCCCGACCCGGGTGTTGCTGTTTGCTGGCTGCATCGGCATCGTTCTACGCATAGCGTTTGCAAGGACGTTGCTGTTGTATACCTTGGCGTGTGTTAGGTTGGGATTCATCCACGCCTGCTTCTTCGTTGCCGTCAAAAGTCACACACAACCTCTCGCAGAGGCATTGCGGACGGCGGCGGTGCGGCCGTGGGGGCCAGAGATGATGGATGTCGGTTATGCTACATATGCCCATGGCGGAACCGTGGTTTGCTGGCGGAGATCACGAGATACTTGTTGCAATTCTCTGGCTAGTTGGCCTTGTGATGAGTTTTCTCCCTACAACTTGTCCTCCCCAGGTTGTTTCTCCATGAAAAACGAGTGTTTTGGTGGGAGCAAATCACCGCGCTCTTTGCATGGACGACAATAGGAGTACCTGCCTTCCACGGCTCACGGCTGCTGTGTCGTTGTTGTCTACTGCAGGGTTCGCAATCGTTCGCAACGGCACACCCTATGTCCTGTACAGCCTTGCCTTTGGTCGTTTTTTTTGCATGTGTGGAAATGGATGTAGAGATATTCTCGCTTTCACTCTAACACACCCACTTGTCCTCCAATATATCGGGGATTTGAGATTTGGATGCCGCTGCTCATTGCGCGCGGATTGGTCGAAGGAGATTGCATGTCTCCTCAACTCGATTGTTCCTTCGTATCAATCCGCTCGATCCGCGTTGCACGTCATGGAGCAGCCGAAACACCTCCTGCACACCCGTTACACGCCTAAAGTTCTGTTCCAAAAAAGTCAACCAACCCCAAAACTGAGCAACAGCGCGACTCGTATGCATAGACATCTGTGCATGTAAATTATGCATATCGCACGTGTCATCAACGCCTGATATTTTTATGTTTGTTGTTTTTTGCACACACATCACCTCCGTTCCAAGTCGACTTGTTTGTGGTTGCCAGTTGATGAGCACATCACGCAGGTTGCCGATGTGATTCCTTGACACTAGGCCTTAAACGAGGAGATGTACTCGTTCAAAGCTAGAGCCGTTTCAGACTCGTCTTTTTCGTGAATGAAGGACGCACACAAATCATCACGGGATAAGGATAAGCACCGAGGTCTTGGGTGTGCCAAGACGCGATGCCCTCCCACCGAAGCACCGGCGATACCGTCGCCGCCATCTTCTACTATGTTGCATTTTTCAGCTGTCCACCACCGGCTGTTTTCCCTACATTTCTCTCTCTCTCCTCCAGTCTCTCTCACGCCCTCCTCGCTATCTCTTTCCTATTAACGGCGCGTTGGCCAAATTCACTCCCGTTCCTTGCGACGATGGAAACATGGAAACCGCACGGCATGGCTGGGACAATCCGCATGCCGTCTTGTCTGCAAACCGCTTGAGGAAGTAAAACAATCACTTGTATGTTTTAGGCCCGTCGCCCGCAACGTCCAACCAGTTTTCTCCAAATCTTGGTACTTTTGTATCAATGCGCGTTCTGTGTTTCGTCAGGACCTTCGACGACATCGAGATCCGCGACATCTCCCTGGAGGACTACATCGCGGTGAAGGGCAAGTACGCTACCTACCTTCCCCACACGGCCGGCCGCTACCAGAAGAAACGCTTCCGCAAGGCCACCGTGAGTATTATAAGATAGCAGTGCCTGCCTCCCTGTCAGCCTTCATTTTTCTTGTCGATCCTCCTTGTTGCCTCTTCAATCCCCGGTCTTTATTGGTTTATGGTGCTTGGCCTTTTGCTGCTTTTTGCCGATCCTACCTTCGTTTCTGGCCGCTCAATCACCGGCGTATCTTGGTTTGTGGTGCTTGGCTTTGCGGTGCTGAAGCGGCAAGTCAAACACGCGTTGGTTCAGCTGCGGCGTAGCTTTGTGATTGCGCGGACGAGGCATCTCGTCGTCGTTTCAGGTTCAACCGTTGTGTCGGCGATCTTTGGGGGGGGTCAGCTACAACTGTTGTACCCTTTGCTGCGCAGCCACCCCCCTCCCTGACCCTCTGGCTTGTGCCTCAGTTCGATGGTATAGTGTTGCAGCCGCCTTCATGGCTATCGTGCTGTGGTTCTCCAATCAACTCCCCGTGCTCTTGCGACGGCGATACGTGCCGTGTTGATCCCTTCGTCAGTCGTTACCCTCACTGCTGAATTTTCAATTTTCACCGTCCCATATGATACGATATGCCCGCCGAAGAATCAAAGTCCATGGTATGTATTGTGGCAAGACACAAAACCCAACCCACACAACGTCAACGGTAATATTCACCGCTGTCCGGCTGACTGAAATCAAAACGCGTGTGCTTGTTCCGATCTCACCATCGACATCGACGTCAACCAGTGCCCCATCGTGGAGCGCCTTTGCTGCGCCTTGATGCGCAAGGGCCGCAACAGCGGCAAGAAGCTCATGGCAGCCCGCATCGTCAAGCACACCCTGGAGATCATCCACCTCCTCACCGACCAGAACCCCGTCCAGGTGAGCGTAATCTTTTTTTTTTAGTTCATCCCTTTGTTTTCTGGACATCAGTCCTTCCCCACCCAAATGCCTCTCTTTCTTTTGTCATTCCTGTTTTTCTGGACGTCAGGCCTTACACGTTGTTGTTTTTTGTTTTGTAATCGCTGTCTTTTTGGACGTCAGTCCTTGCACGTGTAAGGGCCGACGTCCAGAAAAACAGGGACGACCAAAAATCAAATACTGCGGTTCTGACACCTTTTCGGTACAGCAGTTGCGAGCGCACCAGCCGGGGGTGACACGAGAGGAAAGTTCGGCCAACGCAGGATTCGTTTTCTCGGCCTTCCTTTTTCCGTGCAGCTACATGCGTGGAATAATTTCTTTGTGGCCTGGCAATCTGCACTTTGAACGACGAAGCTGTAGCTTCTGCGTACAACTTCGCCCATGTCTTTGTTTTCGCATCGCATCGCGATAGAGTGTGACGGCAATTCGAGGAGCAACTGCGAGCGTGTGACCAAGCTGGTGGGGAACCATTTGCAGGATAGAGTTCCAAGCACGCGCTGGAACCCCATGAGCTTGCTCAAGAAACATATTCCTCGCCCCGTGACCGTAGTTGCTGTTCCAGTGCCACTGCAGTGCTGTTCTTGGTGGATACGCGTTGGCCAACGGTGCCGAGGCAAAGATAGCGCGTTGTCCCCGAGCTTTGATGTAATGCTTAAGAAGGACGTCCCAATCAGAGCACCATGAGCAAGTTTCACACGGCTGACGAAAAGCAGCCACGGCACCCTGTTTACGGTTTTGATGTGGAAACCCCATAGAAAAGGGATTTGTCTCGTTAGGTGGTAACATCCACAGTGTGTCGAGAGACTTTTTCCGCTTCTCACGGTTCGACCCGCTCTCTCGACGTTCCCACATGCCGTTTCCCACAGGTTGTGATGAGCAACACCCCCCAAATACGTATATCCCAGCAACTCCGACGTTTCGGACCCGATTGTGTGTGAAAGTGGTTGCCCACCCGGCGCGTCAGATGTTATATAGAAGGCACGCAATGGCCATCGTTCTCATGGTGCCCGTCAAGTCTTGAACAAACGAAATCACGGCGCCTAAGTATTAAGGCAGCATGGCAGTACGTGTATCTCAGTTCTTTCTTGGCCGACTTGAGAACCACAGTGCGTCCCTCGAGACAAGAGAGGGCGCGCCAAGTTTCAAGCGTTGCATCCTCGTTCGCGTCGCCGCTTGCGTGAACCCGAAGCTTTAAAAGCGCCACCGTAATAAACACCCAATCCTCTGCACGAAACACGCACGTTTTAACATTTGCTTCCGTCGCTCGGTGCTTGACTCTGGGAACCCTTGACTGTTGTTCCTCCTCGAAGGTGCTCGTGGATGCGGTGATCAACTCGGGGCCCCGGGAAGACTCCACGCGCGTGGGATCCGCCGGTGTTGTGCGGCGCCAGGCCGTGGACCTCTCGCCTTTCCGCCGCGTGAACCAGGTATTCTACGTTTGTACCAGTGCGGTGCCACGTGTGCCATGTGGCGCTGTGGTCTGTTTGAGACAGAAATTTTTTTTTGTTGTACTTGCGCATGGGATGAGCGCAGAATGTCTCGTTTGGGGTTTAGATTGGCACACCAGGTTTGGCGCAAGCCGCACAAAATATTTTTTTAATCGCGTGTGAATTATCTCCCAACAACCAGAATTTAATTGGTCGAAACACTGCTCGCGTTTCTTCACACCCTCTTTTTTTGGCTGTTTTTCCAATTCAGGCCATATTGACGGAGTTGCTTTGTCGATATATGTATATCGCCAATGTGTCAACATGGCGACGGTGCTACAATCGCGTGCTGCAAGGTCAAGGTTAACGTGACCTCCCTCGCGTGGTATGTTAAGTCACACCTTTCCTCTCTCTCCTCGCGTTCTTCTGCGGCCGCTTCTTATTATTGTCAGGCTCTGTACCTGATCACCACCGGCGCGCGCGAGTCGTCCTTCCGCAACATCAAGACCATCGCCGAGTGCCTCGCCGACGAGATCATCAACGCCGCCCGCGGGTCGTCGAACTCCTACGCCATCAAGAAGAAGGACGAGATCGAGCGCGTGGCCAAGGCTAACCGGTAGATTTTCTCGCGGCTAGTTTCCCCCATCGGAAGGAAGGCGAGCCGGACGACGGCCTCCACTCTTCTGTCCTGTCGTGTACCGCCGCTTTTTTCTGAACAAGACATGCGTCTCCTTGCGGAGATGTTGGGTCTTTTGTTTTGAGACTTGGGGCTGATGGGCTGTAGGGCGCGCACGCGCGCGGTCTCACGATTTTTGTGGGGGTGTGGTGGTGGGCCTCTGACTCTTGTTGCTTCCGAGAGGGGGGGGGGGGTTGTTCTGACTACTATGGGGAGGTCGACGGAGGGAGAGGGCAACAGGGATGATGCATTCCTCTTTCTTCGTCGCTCTGCGGTTAAATGCAGGACTAAAAATGACATCTGAAACGGACGAATGGTTGCGCTGCCGGTTGTGGCGAGGGTGCGGGGGTGACGACGCCGCGTGTGTCTTGTCATCTCCACGAACAGTCGCGCCTACGTGTCCCTCGATGCTGAACCCGACTACCTGTCTCACGTACTACTACTGGGTGTCACAACGAAAACGACCCCACGGAGACTCTAATGTACAGTGTATACCCTGAACACACACCTGCTCGTAGCGGCAGACGCCGAATATTTTCCGTTCCTCGAATACTCTCGTTCTCTCCCGAGGTGACAAAGTGAGCGTCGTCGTGGGTGGGCCGCGTTTGATGCGGGATGTACGCCAAGAGATTCCGGGGCTGTGAAGCACGTTTTTGTGGCCGGTGTCTTTCCTCCGACGGCCGCCTCTCTCTCGCAGGCGCCGGCATCCAACGCTTGCCCCTCGCAATAACACGACAACATGAAAGCTCGGCTACTTGTATCCTCTTCGCGGGGTCGCGGTAATCCGGAGGACGATACCACTGTTGTTGTTGGCCTTGCGCGCCTTCCACCTAGATGTGTTCGGTCGCCGCTGGTGCTAACACTTGGTTCGTGTAGGCTCCCATTGCATAGCACAGCACCGCCCACTCTTCCCTACACGGCGATCAGCAGAGCGATGGCACTCTCCCTTCTTCACGCGCCCGGCACGTCAATCACTTCCACACACTGCTTTCTCCGAAACTCTTGACAGACGCCCCTTTCAACTACCTAAATGCTAATGCTTAATGATTTTGGTCAAGGGCAAGAAAGGAACCCCTTGCAGGAACGGACAGGCCTTTTTTTCACCTTGTTCTCCATGCTTGTGGCAAACTGGGTTTTTTCCCTGAACAACACGACGATAACGTTTTTTCTAGGGTTGGGTCCTGGATCAGTATCTACTGGCAGTATTCCTGTACTGGCAGTACTCCTAGTACTGGATTTGAGACCGCCAGTACAGCCAGTACTTGGCCCACTTACGTACGTCCTACACTATGCCTCCTAAACCACATGGAAACCCACCGAATTGCGCCGCATCAGAGGGGAGAGGCTGTGAGACGAAGGCACGCACACACAGAGGGAGTTGGGTACAAACGATGGAACAATATATCAGTAGCAGCAACACGCCCTCTGCATGAGATTGTACGGGTTTGCTCTGCCTTTTTACTTGCGCATTTTCTAGCATTACGATTTCCAACTGAAATATTTGTCCATCGCTTCAAGTAACTTGTCAAGTAAGGATGGGTTCAAATGAAAAATGCAGTCTACTAGGTTTTCAACTTGGTTCAACATGTTTCGGAAGCAGCTTGTTCATGAAATGTTCAATACGCTAGCTGTCATGCTGCCATGTGATGAATATCACCGACCAACTTCAAGATATCAGCCAAAAATCAATAATCAGATCTGATTATTGTACCTTTAATCTCTTCAGTTTTAGTGGTTCACACACGAGTGAGTCCGGCACCATCCGAGTGGCCCAAAATCACCCAAAAAATATGCTCTAGTGAAGCCAAATCGCGGAAAAACACGCCTCCGGCGGGGCACCCTCACCAGCCGGGGGGGGCCGGTGGTCGCGGCTGCGCCGCGACCACGCGGCTTCGCCGCGACACCAGTGTACTGTTTGGACCCAGTGTACTGGCTGCCGACGCAGCCAGTACACCTGGTACTGGCGCGCAGCGCCAGTACCCAACCCTAGTTTTTTCACGTGACACAACGCCGGGGATTCGGGGGGCGGGGTGAGAGAGGAGACGAAAAGTCCGTCTTTTTGAAACCGTAATAAAGGCGGAAGATTATTTATGTGGAGTATTTATGGGAACCACCGTTGCTGCGTCGAGTCGGGAGAGATTTGAAAGAAAGGGTTGGGCTCGCGTGGCCCGGCCGTGGCACCTGTAACCCCAACGTTACTACTTACGAAAGCTGGTGGTCTTCCGTGAAGCCGAAAAAAGCCAACAACGTCGCACACAGTCAGATTTGGCCGACGGGAGAGAGCGCGCCCGCTGAGAAGGCCAAGCCAGGCGGCGGGACGCCAACCAACAACCAATGCCAGCTCTTTCCACGCCACCACCACCATCGTTTTCGACTTCAGATACTTGTACGACGCCAAACAAAGTTTGTACATGCCTCCCTCGGAGGCCTCCCTCGAAGACAAAATAAGAGGGAAAAAGTATTAGCCCGGGGGCAGCCCGGGCCTCGTCTGAAGCCCTTTCCTTTTTTCCCCAGGGGTAGACTTGTATGTATCGGGTCGAGTATGATAGGAGTTGGTCACGAGGGTTGTCCAAGTCTGGAAAAGAGAGTCCATCCGTCAATCAATAATGTGAAATGAAGGAAGGAAAGAAGCAACAAGGGTGGTAAAACAACAACATTCATTGTTTTCCGTTTTTGACTCAAAACCCACGCGACGTTCGCATGCGTGCGAAACGGAGGGGGGAAAAGGACGCGGGGGGGGGGGGCATCGATGATCGGCCGTGACCATGGTATCCATGAGCGACCGCAATGTGAGCACAACGGCGAAGGCCACCTTTCGACGGGTAGACGGGGAACCGTGTGAAACACCGCAATTTCTCCGGTTGTTGGAAAAATACGGCAGAGAATGACAGAGGGCAGTCAGCCGACGGTGGTGTGAAAGCCAAGAAGATGAGGTGGAACTTCTTTGTTGATCGTCCCGGCACATACGTATATATATATATGTCTTGAGCACGACATTTACCACAAACAAACGGCCGTTTCACATTTTCTGCAGACCAACCAGACTAATACCACACACGACCGACGTCAAAACAAGCGTCAACAGAACCATAACACGGGGGGGGCAGCAAGACTCATTCATGTGCCAGGGGCGGGGCCCCCCAGTGTCCAACTCACGCATATATATATATATACCGAAAGGCCAGTCAATGTATCTAGACCACTATTTGTTACAAGGAAGGAGCCACATTCAGCAGCCGTATGCACACTTCACCCGACAAAAGTCTGCCTCACTCGAAGTGTGCAGGGTAAGACAAATTAATTCTTGTTAAACTTGTTTCACGTGCGTTCCTACAGGTTGTTGGTATCACTCGATGGTGCAGGGTAAGACAAATTAATTCTTGTTAAACTTGTTTAACGTGCTTCTTTCTTCCTACGGCTTGTTGGTGTCTATCGTCTTCACACATTTATTTCTTGGGGACGTCTGGGCATGCATACAAATCCATCCAATCAAGGCAGAAATTGGTTGGCAGCCTAACAATATTAATCTGGCAGACACAACCAAAGGGCAGACCCAACGCAAGCTGCCAGTTAGCTAAGGGTACGCGGTCGATTGTTACCGACCGCAAGGCATCAATATCCATATCCTCGTAGAAAATGCCTGGCAACTGCAACGAACACGAGCTAATTCACAGAAGAACGAGAGCGCAGACACAGCCGCTCACGACCGACCACGGGACAATACTACTGCTGTAGGACATGAGACCCAACTATTTCTCAACAAAAAAACATGTCCAAAAGCGGGCATGTACAAGGAACGCCCTAGTTACCTGCTATTTACTTTGTTGGCACAACACACCTTCTGACACAAAACAGAACGCACACACACGCAAAACGTAAAAAAAAAAAAAAAAGTGCCTCGAGAAATAATCCCGAGGGCGTCAGACGCCCGCCGCACTCCCTGCCCCGGTGACACTCCAAGCACCTTCCCGTTGGACAAGGGCTACCAGAGGCATGTTTCCTTATGGTACGCGCCAGCCACTACCTAACAAACCTGAGAGTTAGGAAGTAGAAGTAAAGGCTAGAAAACAACAAATACAAAATTTTTAAGAGACTTAACCTACAGTACACTGCGGAACAATGCGGGGTTGCCTCAGAGAAAAAAAAAAAACGAAGCTCGGGCAACACGAGAGGTGACGCGTACCGCACACGAACGACAACATCATCGCAAAGGGGAGGAGGGATGCATACCTGGGGGGCAATTTCCAAATGCCCCTCGTGCAGGTTATGATAAAAACCATCCGAGGAAGGCGTCAGGTTTACACGGGACAAGTCCGACTGACTTGGCTGCTAAAACCCGCGTAAACGAGGGCCAGACAAGATATACTTGCCGGCCGTCTGCGCTTGGAAGAAATGTGGCCCAACAAGCAGCGCGCGGGCTCGTTTTCCCGAAAAAACGAGCCACGTTTCTCCCCCACCTATCAACTCTCGACGCGCGTGGTGACGGCAGCAGTGAGTTCACGCAAAAAGACACTCCAACCACCAAACTTCTAGGGGGTCTAGACTATTTCCTCTCGGGGGGTGGTATCCAACGTATGACACACGCAGGGCCACTGACTGCTGCGCGAGGGCCAGAAGTACAACAAAAACAAGACGACACACACAGAAACGAACGTGCTGCAAAGTAGAGAGACAAAATAAGACAATTCCTCGGCCCGTATACACATACCGGGAAAAAAAAAAAAGTCAAAATAAACACGTTAACAATATAATGTTTTGTGTCACGCTGGTAGAACCACCACCCCGTGCGCCGCCTTACCGCCACCACCACCAACACCACCAACACCCCCGGCCGGCGAGGGCAAAAACCGATACATGGCTAGGACGGCGAATCCCGAAGCCCAGGCCAACAAGGTCGTCGCCAACGGGAAGGCGCTGTCGCACGACCCCGCGCCGCGCCCGTCTCCAAGACCATCGACGGCATCGACACTCTGCGCCGCCCCCTCCGCCGCCGCCGCCGCCCCGGTCAACGCCTGACCCACGACGGGGATATATTCGATGTCGTTTTCGCCGCTGCCCATCTCTAGTGGTAGCCCGGCCCCACCCCGGGGGCCGCCCAGCCCCCCCGCCCTGTCCACGCCGGCAGCAGCAGCGGCAGCTACAGCAACACTACCAGCACGGCCTTCTCGCTCTTCTCCTTCTTCTTCTTCTTCTTCTTCTTCTTTGCCGGCCTTCGAAGACGTGACGGCGGCGGCGCCCGATGGTAATCTATCTCTCGCGTCGACAAGATCGACGACGCCTCCAGCGGCGGCGGCGGCGTCGTTCTCCCGTTTTACCCGGATGCGATGACGGCCTCGGCGGGCCCTTCGTCCCCGTCCCCTCTCCACCAAGGCCCGGCCCTCCCGCTGCTGCTGCTGCTGCTGCTGCCCGAGCTTCCGCTCTCCGTCTCTACCACTGGCGTCCCTTCTTCTTCCTGCTGCTTCCGCTGGTTTGGACGCCGACCTTGTGCTGCTAGAATCGTCCGGGTGACCCTGCCGCAGCTTCCCACGGGCCCGCTCCTCCTCCTCCTCCTCCTCCTCCTCCTCCTCCTCGTCGTCTACTAGTAGCATCCGCGAAACCTCCTCATTCTCGTGGCTATATCTGCCGGTGGTAGTACCCCCCTCCCGGAATTCCACGGCGATCCAATCTTCCTCCTCTCCCCTCCCCTGCTCCCGCCCTTGCTCCTCCCCGTCATGCGATGTCAACAGGCGAGACTTGTTATTCTCCTCCTGTCCCGTAACCCGTACGACATCCTCCCCTACTTTCGCGTCGGCACTGCCAAAGTCCTCTCCTTGCCTGGCATCAGCCGCGATATCTGCCGAAGAAATCTCGGGAAAATAGACTTCTTCGGCGTCCTCGGAAACCTCTCCTGGTCCTTGCTCGCCGCCGCCGCCGCCGCCGCTGCTGCTGCTGCTGAGGTGCGGCCGTAACTCTCCAGCTAGCTGAAAGATTGGGTCGTGCAGCTGCACGATGGGCACGTCCGGCTCGCACGCAAACGCCTGTTTTTTGTGTTTTTGTTTCGGGACAGAAATAACGATCGTCAGAAAGGGAGGAACACCAATATTTCTGTCGGAGGTAAATGTTACAAGCACATGCAGGATATGTATATCAGTTTTCGAGACAAACACAAAAGATTATCAGAGAAGGGGGAAGAGACACGTTGTGGTTCGTCCTACTTTTTCTTTCGAGCACATGAAACAGAAATTTAGCTTCGATACAAAACAGCGCACACATCAGAGAAGGAGGCAGAGGGACTTTCACAGCAACGACGACATACAAAAGACACTCAAGCTTCAAAAAGTGCTAATACCAAGGGCGGTACGTAAACACCAAAACCAAGCAAGCGCCGTAACACCTTCAAGAACGACTGACGACTCACCGGCGACGTCGGCAAGAGCTCCACCACGAAGCCCCCGATCATAGGCCCGATCACTTCCCCGACCCCGATCGACATCGCGTGCGCCGAGGCCACCATGTCATCGGCCCCCGTCCCCATGCCGGCCACGCCTCCCTGTCAGGTGTCAGGTGTGTGACCAAGTTATAATCATAATCATCACATGTATGTGCGGGCGCGGACCGGAAATTCAGCACACTCTCGAGGAACTCAAGGTTTTCGATCCAAGGCATGCAACCCCCCCCCCCCCCCCCCCCCTTTGAGCCCTCACCCTGCATGGCGGTGAAGGCGGGGACGCTCGCCAAGGCGCTTCCAACCTGAAACGCCAGCAGGCCGACGCTGATAGCCCCCCTCGCCGCTCCGCGGGTAACCAACGCCGGGGCAAGCGCAGGGCTGGGGCCGGACATAAGCAGGCTGTCCAGGGGGGCAGCAGCATACAACAGGATGCCAGGGGGGGGTCGAAGGGCCGAGGAGAAAGGTAGGAGGGGGTGGGGGTGGGGCACCATCAGTAAACGCGTACAGCCGGTTCTTCAGACGAGGAGTTAACGGACGACACGGACCATTACGTTGTCATGGCACAACATGACATGCCGCAGCAACGACGAAACGAGCTGTGTGCTACTAGGCACACACACAAACCAAGGCGCTCCAACTCTCAACCTATTTATTCGATCGCCCCCCCCCCTCGCTCAAGGCCATGATGCACATGTCCTTACAGGCAACCCCAGCTCACGCTCCGCTACTCCTTGAGTGCTGACACAACATCCGGCCACACCGCCACAGCAGCAGCACACAACAACTTCACTCACCGGCATGTTGCACCCGAAAAAAAAAAAAAAAGCGAAACAGGTAAATGTACACCAAGATCGTTGATAGTTGTACGAAAACGTGGAGGCCAGTCGGCATCCTCCCTGCTACATGTACCTCATGCTCATGATGCAAAGTCCCGCCAGCAACGTCCGCCTGGCCCCCTGCCTGTCTACGATGTCCTCGGCCTTCATGGCCGTCAGGGTGTACAGGACGTTGGGAAGTACCAGCACGAAGCCGATTGATCTCGGAGAAGTTGACAGCGTCTGAGCCAGGTGCGGGGCCAGGGTGACCTGCGTTGCGGTAGTATGTGGTAAAAATTGGTATTTTCTCGAAGGGGTAATAGTCTTCCTTTAATTGAATGTACGTATTCAAATAAAATGTTCGCAGAAACAAGAGCCGTGGTTCACCGAACTTGCTAACCAGTTTGTAAGGTGTGAATGTTTTTATTGCTAGCATCGACCGGCCGACCAATGACAAGACTTCAACCTCAGCGCGGTTGAAAACAACAAAAAAAAATCCCTTCTACAAAAGGCTACCACGTGTGTTTCGTCTTGACAGGTTGGGATGCACGCTTGCTTGATACGACAGCGTTCGGCCATAATTCGCGGCAGTTCTCCGCACAAAAAACAGTACAAACATGTGAGACAACCAGACCACTGTACTGTACCTCGAGGAAACCGATGACGGCATAATTGTAGGCCGTCACGAAAGCTCCGGTCAGCACCCCTCGATTTCTCGCCACCTTCCAGAAGGCCAGCTTCCCCCCCGCCGGGTTGAGGTCGCCGAAGCCCCCCTCGCTTGCCTGTGAGGACGACGGCAACAAGCAAGGCACGGGGAGGGGAGGGGGGAGGGGGGGGCGTTAGCAACCACAAGCAGCATGAAATAGAAATGGGGAGCGTCAACAACAACAAGCTGCAAAAATCCTACAGCAGGGGGGGGGGGGCTAGCAAAAAAAAACTTGTAGTAAGGGGGGGCGCTAGCAACAGCAAGCAGCAATAGCAGTCAGTTGGGGTGTGAATGGCAACAACAACGAACATTGACGACGACAACAACAACAACAACAACAACAACAACAACAACAACAACAACCACAACAACAACAACAACAGCAAGGGCATCAACAAGAACAAACCACAGCAGCATGTGTGTGTCTTCGTCATCGCGGTACCAAAAAAAAAGAAAAGAACCAACTTAGTAAGCGTGTGTGCACTTGTATGAATAGTGTTTTTTTTTTACCGCCCACCTTTCCTGAACGCAAGAGATGGAGAACTCTCGGCGTGAAAAGCAGCAAAACCACCGGAAACACCGCCACCACAAGAAATATCAGACGACACGCCTCCGTACGGCACCGCCAGGCAGCCCAAGGGCGGCCCGAGAATCTCAGCCACGCCGGACCAAATCTGGAACGCGTGTGTGCATCGGGGGCGGGGGGGGGGTTACTCATAGTCGTGCATGCCGTGGTCGTTCGGCCGTTGACATCGCATCTGGGGGTGAGGGGGGTCATTCGGTTAAAAACGTAAAATCGGATGATGGAAGGAGGCACAGCGCAAAACGCAAAACTTTTCCACAGTGAGACATTAACGAACTCTCGTTGTTGTAACGCTTTGGGTGTGCGTGTACGGCGACGCACGGTCGCGCTTCTTCCCCTCGCATGCAAGACTTCCAGCGCATGCACGCAACAAGTGAAAAAGAGGTCTCGAGTCTTGGGGACATGAGTCTCCATAGGGATTTCGGAACGGTGTTATGTCTTCCGATGTGATGGGGGCGTCGTCCAAAGTGACCGGACGACTCAGGCAGCCAAAACACCATCAGCCAGCCCACATACCCGTCCAAACCAGCGATGCAGCTAGGAAAACATACGATACGGGAACAAAAAAAATTGAGCCACCTTTGGCAAGTAGGAAGGAACGATTGGCCATCGGTGATCGGTCCTGTAGGAACAGCAGTGCTCCGTCCTGTCGAGGACGCACGGTCAACGGTCTAGCATGCAAAACATGAGTACCCCGCCCTCCCCCTCCTCCACTTTTAGAGAAAACAGTGAAGAAGAAAACCGACAACGGGCTGGGTTATAACCCGGTTCAGAAAAGGGCGAAGGGCAGATACCAAGACTCAACCCCCTTACCCTTCCCAGCAGCAAAAACAAACAATAAAGACACAACACACCTCATCGGTCAGCCGGCTAGCGCGGTCGATGCCAACAACGAAATCAAAAACACACACACCTCAATGCCAGCCATGGACTCCGTCAATCGGTCCGGGTAGGCGCTGAGCAGGCCGAGGCTGCTGACGTGGATGAAGGACAGCGATGCCCCGTGCAGGCCGCTGGCGATGTAGAGCCAGGGCACGGAGGAGGCCAACCCGTAGAGCGCCGTGGCGACCGTCAGGAGAAGAAGCCCGGCGAAGAGGGATTTCCACCTTCCGTACCTGCCGGAGGCCGGGGTGGGTGGGTGGGTGGGGGGGGGCGGAGTCGATTGTGCGGTTCGAAACCTATTTGAATGCGGGAAAAAAATGGCGTCGGAATCGCGGCGTGAGGACCGACCAAAGCAGTGAAATACATTGTCGAGTCTCGACTTTTCAATGGGTTGTTGCGTTTTATCCTCGTCGGCCCCTCCCTGCCAGCTATCGGCGACAACAGCAACCCGTTATTGCATTTTGCTTTGATTGGGATTGGTCCCCCACCTGTACATGACCCAGCCCACTAAAGGGGAGGCGGCGAGGTTCACGGCGGGATAGGCGGCCATGATCATGCCCACCTGCCGCACGAAAGAAAGAGCAAGCACGTCGCATTGCTGGTGAAAATATATATAAAAAAAAAAGCGATAGCGAATCATAGTTTGACGCCAAGGGAACGCTTTTCGCCGTGACATCGACAAAAATCTCAAAACGGTCGTACTTGTAGATATTGGTGACACCGGCCAACGTACAACTCTTGAAACCTGCTGCCTTGTGAGTAGCATGCAACGCACGTTCACCTTGTGTACTCTGTATTCTACCACGACGCGTTGTCGATACCTTACATCCAAATTGGCGATGGAAACGGTCACGCTCGAGTAGTTAAAAAAAAAAAACTGATAAATTTGCACCATCACCACTGCGCAAAAACAAAAAACAACAACCACTTATACCACCAAAGACTATGACAGCGAAAAGAGAACGTCCAAGTTGACAAAAACACAGAAACCCATGTACAGCAGAAAGTAAACGACAACAACAGCGACAGCGACAGCGACAGCGACAGCCACAACAGCAGCAGCAACAACAACAGTAACAGCAGCAACAGCTGCAGCAACAACAGCGTTAACAACAACAACATCATCAACAACAACATCACTTCTTCATACCTGCGTGGAGGTGCTGCCGAACCTGTCCGCGATGTACGCGGGCAGAAACGGCCCCAGCACGGAGAAAGTCATGGCGTTCACGAAGGCCACCGAGCACGCGCTCACGTACAGCAGGCGGTACGCCTCTCCTCCACCTGCAACAACGCCCCGCGGGTTAAAAGAAAACACGCATAAAAGCGGAACGGGTAACGAGTAAAGAAAAAAATACAAACTCATGGTACTTTCCGTGGAAGAGATAAGTTCCTTGTAAGGGGAAAAAAATAAAAGTAAAAACTCTCCCGAGGGTGCGAACAAAAACTTTCAAAAAAAACACAGGGGTCTGTCACCACCCCTGCCCACTCTTGAGCTTTCACGGACACGGACGACATTGTTCTTGTTTTTGGTGTTGTTGTTGTTGTTGTTGTTGTTGTTGTTGTTGTTGTTGTTGTTGTTGTTGTTGTTGTTGTTGTTGTTGTTGTTGTTGTTGTTGTTGTTGTTATTGTTGTTGTTGTTGTTGTTGTTGTTGTCGTTGTTGTTGTCGTTGTTGCCGTTGCCGTTGTTGTTGTCGTTGTCGTTGTTGTTGTTGTTGTTGTTGT